TTTCGCGTGCGAAATAATATATATATTCGCCAGAAACAACGATTATGATCGTTCTCTCGATATCACGGATCCCATAAATCTCTAATCGCGTGCAGCCGGTATCTAATGCATCCCTTTTCTCTCGAGAAGTTACGAAAAAAAAAACTTGTGAATACGCGTAATGACATCATTAAGCGTACTAATGTTATTACTGACTGAAAGGCAGCGGATGAATCTTTATCCGGTGATAAAAATATACCAGGCGATTTATGCGAGTACAAAAGTGCAGGTCACATGGAAAAATGCGGTTCGCGTGTTCTTCATGTTTCTCTCTCTCTTTCTCTCCCTACGATTTGCTTTTTTTATCGCACTTTTTAACGCTTCTTTCTGCGGTTGCGCATCTCCCGATGCGAGTAGCGCAAAAAGTAAGATCTTATCGACCTGCTATTATCGAACGCAGCGAACATAAAAAAGAAGTAAATGTTAAAAATACGAGTAAATTTCAAATTTCGTCAACACGTTACTATAATATATATTTTTGATTGTCTTCTTGGACTGTCTCTTTTCAATTAAAATGTATGTTTTTGAATGCACGTGAAATTAAACATGTAAATCGTGTTTATGTAATTAGCTCGTTGTTTTTGAATGCACGTGAAATTAAACATGTAAATCGTGTTTAAGTAAATATCTAAGTGTTGTAAGTAAAAAAAGCTACATTGTAAATATCTTTACAAGCACTGAAAAAAAGAACGAAGTACCCGCATACTAACTGCGATTTTTATTTGAATATATTAACACATGCGTTATCTCGCAATTTTGTAATTGCGTTATCGCGCGTAGTTTTAAATAATTGCACCGCACACATTGATAATTATATGTATTACTATGACCATGATGAAAATATATACACGCGATAATAATTTTGCAATGCTGATAGCCACGGTGAAAAATACATGTGTGCGACGACAGTCTCGGAATGGCGGATAACACATGCTACGTCTGTCAGCAATTTCCATATTCGTGCGTGCGTCTTCTGATCGGCAACCGATTATATTTTCCACGCACATTGCAATAGGAAATTTATTATAATTAAATGCGCAATTTTCACTAATCACGATCTTTATGGTGTGAATGTTTCTAATACATTTAATTGAAGTCCCGGAATTTCACACACACAGTTCACGATAAAGCAAAACTGCACAGCTACGATGTATGACATGACTCTTTTTTGACGTTTGTCTAGCGATCAGAATTTAAAAAGTAACATGCATAAAAGACTAATTAACTTTTTAATCTTTCTATTTTTATGTATGTGTGTATTTGAGGGAGAAGGAAATACTAGTATTTATCATTTTATTGTAAAACAAATCTCCGATTTAAAAATTTAAAACTATTATATTTCTATACTTATTATTTATTTATTTTTCATTTATAATTATAATGATCTCAATTTTAAGATATCTTTGAACTTTCTCCTCTTTTTTCCTTTCAACTATATAAAAACATAAATATAAGAAAGAAATATTAGTTCATTTTTCAACTCGATTCTCTGACATTTTTCCATTTAGAAATAATAATTCCATTTCACAACTCAATTTTCCAACTCAAATCGTTTGGAGATAAAATCTTCCAATTAAATCATGCCATTTTTTGCTAGAAATAACAAAATGTTGCTTACATAATTTTATAGTTCTGTACATGTACATTTCTTGGTTACGAGTCTCGTATCCAATTTGCATTGAGCTTTTTTCGTCGCGGAAAAACGCCATAAATTTGCAGATTCGCGCGAAGACTCGAGAATTTGATCTCTCTAGATCATCATCTGCTTAGCGAGCGTCTAACGCACGCTCGTTAATTCTGGTGCGAACAGGTAAAATTTACGTGCAATTTGTTGGCAGCGATTCGCCGGACCGCTGCTGCGACGTACAAGAATTCCCTCTATACGAGTACGAGAATCGCTATTTCGGACGCTAATTATCGCATGGCTTGCCAGACGACACATTTTTTTCCGTCGCGCTCGCCTGATGAATCGCATATTCCTAATTAACGGAACAGCGCGCGATCACTTTTGTCCCCGATGTCCGGTGTACCGAGATAAAATTGGACTCTAAGATAAGATAAGAGTTTTATTGTTTGGCACATGATCTCGCGAAAATTATCCTAAAGTTAATTTATATGAGAAAACGATTTGACAAACAAAGAGGTATATATATACGTAGAGAAGTGAACAAATTTGTGTTTTGCATTTTAAATTATTCTAATATACAATTCTATAAAAAAAAATATTTAAACCTTCTATGATAAAGATTTTTATAAAAATATATATATGATATCCACATATTATATAAAAATATTTCTTTTGTTTCGTTATACCTCGTGCTGCTTATTTAGTTCCAATATTGTTCTATTATTGTTTGATTTTCCGCGAGCATGAGTTTAAACTATTCATTAAAATAGATATTTTTTTTATAAAATAGATATTTAAACACAAAACATGAATATTATTCAATATTATTTTCATGTAATTAAAAAAATCAAAAGAAAGGCTTAAACAAAGCTTCAAGATTTCGAAAATACTAAGATTTACATTTTTATACTCAAATTTTGTATTCGAAATGTTAAAAATTTGAATGTAAAAGTTGATAACATTTGTATAATTTTTAAATTTATTAGCGTAAGTAATAATCATATGTCGATTACACTTTAAAAATGTTAACGCGAATACATCATTGGAGATAAACACAATTAGAAAAAATTTAAATATTTATTTAGTTCATTATATATCAATATATTTATTTAATTATTTAATTCATTATATATCATATTTATTTAATTATTTAATTATTAAATTAATAATATTTCAATATTATTTATTTAATTATTCATTTAATTATCAAGTAAACTTAATATAATTTTTAAGATAATTTTTCAATATTTAGCTGATAGCTAAAATGAAGTTAACAGATGCGAATGACTAGTTGAAGTTAACAGATGCGAATGACTAGTTGATTCGAATGAAAGACTGCAAGCCGTCGGATAGAAAAGCACGTCGTGAAGTGGACAGACCGAGGAAGCATTCTACAGCAACAAACTCTAAATAAGCTCGTTAAGTCGTAAACTAAGTTACCCCTAAGATGATCTCGTAATTTAACCTTTTGTAACCTGAACAGGCTTTTATTGCGGTGCTAACAACCGCAAGATAATTTGATTCACTTAAATTAAATTTTTTCCTTGGGATGACATACAACGAGATATACTTGTCATTTCTCAAAATATTAAAGTATAAATAATAATTAGAATTAAAAAATTAAAATTAAGAGACGTGTAAAGGTATACAATAAAAGCTTTTGACAAATAAATTTTTTTTTAAAGAATCGAGAAGAAAATTTTATGAATGTTTTGATTTGTGTTAATAATTTTCACTGGTTTAGTTATTACAAAACATTCATTGGCTCATATCTCGGATCTCGAGATAAACGTTTCAAACATTAACAATAAATAGTTCTTTAACATTGGGGCTGTCATAATTTACACAAAAAAATAATATATTTACACATCAGGGAAAAATGTATAAAAGTTTGTGATATGTACAAGACGCTGCGTGATATTTTTTATTATTGTGTTAACACAAAACGAATTATTTCGATAGTTGATGTAGTATGAGAAATTAATTTTCTACAGTGTAAAATTATTTATTAGATAGATGCATGAGCGATAACATTCTGATGCGAGTGAAAATCTCCAGTAGCGAGCTCCAGAAACGAGACTTTCTCCTATTTTATCTTTGTTATTCGAGAAATGACCGGTATCTTGGAGATCTCAAATCTCTGATTTTAACGATAATAAATATTTACACTTCCAAGCGAAAAGTGAAAGATATTTTGATTTTCATAAAATTATTATTAAAGTTTTTAAAGTATAATCTATTAAACACAGATGAGAGACAATACTATCTTATTATAAAGAAGAGTTGAAGGTGGTTAAATAAAGAATTGAAGATCAATGAATTTTTTAAAGCACGATTCTTGTTTTTCAGGTCGTACGGAATTAAGACTTATTATCAGATATGATTATATTATTTTAACAACAATGGTGTAAAATGCCTTCTATTGTTTTCAATCATCACTGCTGGCAGCGATACATGAAACAAGTCATGATCGCGTTTATCTTTCAACATTTGACATTTCTATATCTCAATTTTATTTCTTTCTGCATCCATTTTGCATTTGTAATAATTTTCTTCTCACACTTTCCATTGTCGCAATGCTTTTATTTACCTCGCACGTTAAATGTCAAAATATAAATATCACTTGAAATGTTTCAAAGCGTAGAAAAAAAATTAATTGATTTCAATTTTCAATGACTATATTTTCGAAATCTAAAAGCCAAAACATAAATATTTACAAAATATACCGACTATTAACAAAGATCCACTTCAATTTCTGATGAAATGACACTAGAAAATATCTCTTCAACACTGATATAATTAACTTTTTATTGGTCAACTCTTTTATTTTACTATTTGACTAAACTTGTGTCAAAGTCATAAAATTAATGTTATTTAATAGAAACGGATTTTTCATTAAAATAGATGCGTACTTAGGACTTGCATTGCAAACTTTCAAAATCACATGTATCTAAAGACTTTAGAGTGTCAAAATCTGTTATTGTTGCTAGATAATTATTATCGATAAAATATACAAGTTATTCTGAAATAATTATTACATACTTTTGAATTTTAAAAAATTGTTGCTTTTACCCGCCATTTTTCATATTTATCCAGATAACGATTATTAGTGTTACTATCTTTTTATGTGATATAAATGTGAGAAACAATACACTGTCATGTGTATATGTATGTCCAATTTTTCACGTGTATCTACAATGCCGTGTTTGCTTCCTATGAATGATACGTAAACGTTTGACAGGTATAATCGTTCGGAGACACTCGCGTTAAAAATTACGAGAGCGCGATTTTCGAAAAAAAAGAAGACACTTTATATTCGTATAAATGTACTCACGATGGTCCAGCGTCGAATCAGCCACGAATCCCTTGCCAGTCGGGCATTCTAGGTTGGTGTCAGCGGTGGCAGCAGCGTTGCCGATGCCCTGCAGGTGGTATTGCGCGAAGGACGGACCCCCGGGCGCCATGATGGCCGCGATGCTGAAGTCCGTCGCTTTTCCCCTCTCCCCCTTCGTAGGCATCCCTCCTCGCGCACCCGACGACACTCTTATACGTTACGCGTTTAGTCCCTTCTCGCTCTCGAACGATCTCTGCGTCCTCGCCGCGGTTTACCTCACCGTCTCGAAATTGTCCACCCTCTCTCTCCTCTTCAAGAAAAAGTCGAGCAAAAATCACCCTCACTCGCGACGAGGCATACCAAGCCTCCGTTGGCACTCTAGTCCCTTCCGCTTGTCCTCTCCTCACCACCTCGCCCTCTTTCTATCATCAGGCGTTCGTTCGTGTCAACATGATGATTCAACCTGTGAGAGAGGAGGCCGTCACCACCTCCGGGATTTTTCACAGGCAGCCGCGAACGCGTAATTACGTCCGTTACCGCGGTTAGCGCTTCCCACCGATCTGTCACTATCACAGCTGATTGTCAAACGACGCCAACGTCTGTCGATTGCCGCTGATTATTACTGTTATTGGATTAACGAGAACGACGCGGCGCACGACGCGTCTGCGCTCCTCGACTTCCCGGACTTCACTGGACCGTCGTCCTTCCTCCCACGCGCACCGACTGCCCCACTACTCTGCGCCGCGCAGGGCGCAGCGGTAGTAGCGCAGCGTGATGCGGCTTACGACGAGAGGCGACGTTTGCGCGCGCAGTATCGACCGGCTGTCTAGGCGGAGTCTCGCGCCGCCGCTCGAGGAGCCGACTCCGGGCCTCTGTCTCCCTTTGTGTCCCCGCCACGACGGCGGGTCACGTGACGCACCGGAGAGGTGAGGTGCGTGAGCGCGCAAACGTCCATGAGGCGAAGGCGGCGCGTGCGGAAAGGACCCTCGCATCGCACGCCACACCCCGAGAACCAGCCACATCCGTCGCCGCCACACCACCATCGTAAACTGACACCACCACGTTGGTCCCCACCACCGAGTCTATCTCGACGTCTACGTGGGTATCGCGAAGTGGCGTGGCAGCGACACGGTGGCCGCGCACAAACGACGAAAGAGAGATCGATCGACCTCTCGCGCCGGATGGCCGGCGTTTCTCCTACGTATCTACCCGTGTGTACCCTCGGCAGTGGCGTAGGATGGAACTGCAACGAGCTCTGTAACGGGAATCATACGTATGATTCGTCTATCGATTAAGAGGATGATACGCTTCTATGGGCTCTTGGCTTCTGTGTAAATGTTCTCCGATCGAACAATTTGTCTCATGTAAGGAGAGGACCAGACGAATGATTAGGGTTTCAATTGTTGCGAGTTGGACAAGTTATTCGATCGAACATGAGAATTGAGAGATTGTGGAAGACGAACCGCAAGCAACATCGTCTGACAACGAGAGATTGCGCTCTACGCCGCTTGGTCTTCCCGGAGAAGGCGCGGAGAATTTATTTAAGACTTCGGCGAGATGCACCGGCACGTAATACGTGGCTAAGAGCTTTCGCGAGCCGTTTGGAGAAGCGAAGGGATGAACGAGGGGTCGCTTGTGCCGGGAATAATCATGAGAATTCGCTATCGACGACTGTTGCAAGGTAACAATCGTCGACAGTGTAGAATCCGTTTATGCCAGTTATACACTGCAATTTACGCGCGCAAGAGATTGTATCTCGGGGAAGAGTGTTAAAGCTGAACTATATACGCGTATCTCTTCCGTGTAGAGTTTCCGTTTGACGCTGACTCACGTGCTCCGTCGTTACACCAGGATTACGTCAACCTTTCCATCACTTGCGACATGATTGATAGTCCCTTCATCGCGATTTCCATCTTCTAGAAGTTATGACTTGTCTCTTTGCTTCCACTATATAAACCTACTCACTCTCCTATTTAACCATTCTTACCGCAAGTGGTTATACATACTTGTCGCTTGTATTATAATAAATTTCTATGAGCGATATATCGTTTACGGAATTATATGCAAAGAGGAAAAAGTCTCTGTTCTCTCGAAAGTAGACATGTACACATTCTAGAATCTCTTTTTTTTTAATAGGTTTATCTTATAGATTTTTTTTTAAACGGTAGAGATTTTAAGACGCTTTACCTAAAATTCTTCTACATATTTATCATAGTAACATTTATATTAATAATTTAGTAACCTCACACTGAGAAAAAATCTGGCTGCATTAATTAGAATTCTGGTAGATTCAACCACTATGTCTGTTCACTGAAAAATGGACGAACCAGAATTCTTGTAGGAATTACCAGATGATTCTGATTAATTTCTTTCTGTTAAATTTACCAAATTTTCTTGTTAATATTAAACTCACTAGCACGTCGTCTAAAATTTTTTTCCATCTAATTTCAAAAGTCTGTTTAATATTTTGAATTCCAACAAGATTGGATAAATTGAATTCAAATTATTGAATAAATTATTTTAAATTCAGTTTGTTAGAAATTAAACTGATAAAACAGTGATCCAAGAAGAGGATGCAACTCAAACACACAATCAGAGAGCTAGCGTCCTCTTTCTGGCACTACTGCTCGTAAGAGAAAAAAAATATACCTTGGATTTAATGTTAATACTAGTTCTTTATATACATTTCATGGCGAATATTGAATATAAGTTAAATTAAGAGTGGTGATGTAACAAGATATTTTATAGATTCAACCAGAAAATATTAACCAGATTCTTATAGTAAAATCTATTAAAGTTCTAGTCATACAAAATCAAGTCTTATCATGATAACTAGAAATTCTTGTTTGATTTAATTAAAATGCCTTCAATCATATATGTTGGTACAATCAAACGATTTTTCTCAGTGCATAAGGCGATTAAGCAGAGTGAAGCTATTCAAGCTGATGGAATTTGGGGAGGAGAGAGGATGGGCACGAGAGGAAGGTGCAATGATGATTTTGGAGTAATCCATTGGGACTAACATCCGACACAATGCGAAGATAACTATTAGAAACAAATTGTTAGATGGACTAGGTCCAGTTACAATGTCCTTCATAAATGTACTTTTATAAAAAAAAATAGCATTTCTTGTTACTAGATTGATAATCATGTTACTAACTACATTGTCGACATTCTGCCGCATCTCATCAGCATTCCAGAAGTTCATGTCTCCGCCGCGGTGGATGATATCTATAGCGGCGAATTTTCACTCAGGACACGTATCGCGGATATTCGCCGCGGTAAAACGAAGAGCGGTAAAACGCAATCGAATTCCGCGAGCATTATCGTCAAAAGCGAACGGCGAGATGGTGAACGGAAGAACGAAAAGGTGAATAGACGTTATACGGCGAGCGGTAGTAAAACCACCGAGGAAAGCATTCAAAGACGCAACAGGGACCGTTAAAATCGGCGAAAGAGAGAGAGAGAGAGAGAAAGAGAGGTGCATCTCGATCGATCAAAGGCCACAAAGTGGATCTCGACGAGACAATTTTGAGACGCGTGTACGTGCGCGAATGTCTCGGCAAGAGTACCGTCGAATAGAGGGGGAGGGGGGAGAGAGAGAGGGAGATTTACGGCGTGTGTTTAGGCACTCGCAGGGGCGCTCTTTACCTAGCCCCCTTTATTATACTAATTTCTCGGGCATGTCAAAATACCTATCGTATGTAACCCGGCCTTCCGAATTCTATTCGACACGCTGGGTGCTCCCGTAGTCGAGCACATAAAGGGCCCCCTAAAATATAAAATATGAAGCCCGGATGGTCGTCGCTCTCCGCGTCTTTCCCTCTCCCCCCCCCCCCTCGTGTCTCGGATCGCCTTCAGGTAGCTGGAAAGAGGAGTTAGCTCGCGCGCGAGTCGTCGAGTCGTCTTTCGTGAACCGCAGGAACGAGCCGGTTCACCGGAACAATTCCCCCCTTCCCCGTTTCCTGCCTCCCGCTGCGGGACGACTACCCTCGGTGTTTTTTAAGACGACCGCCGGGACGTGTCACCGTCGCCTTTCACAGTCGTCATTCGCTGTAAAGTTTGCCATTTAACGGACTACGACTGTATCCACTCGACTGCGTGCGTGCGTTTAAAAGTCATGTGGGTCCTACTTAAGGCGCGCTGTTAAACGAGTATTATGACTGCGTAGCCGCAATGTGGACTCGGGATGATGCTTTTCGGGGTGTGAATATCGATCGGGGAACCTGCGTGAACGTATTTCGAAATTCGACTGACATTATTATGTGTACCTGTAAACGGGGATGCCATCGCGATAGGAATAAGTTAACTCATTATTAATCCCAATGCATCTGTAGTAAATATGGATTTAAATCACTATAGCGAATTTATAATTGTAGTAATGACCATTTGTCGGCGAACGCGTCGTTACCTATTTTCTTCATGCTTATAATAAAAGATCGATTGTTTGCGGTCTCGATCGAAATTAATAAAATTTTCTTCCCGCTGATAACAATTTTGCCCGGTGAGTCGCAAGCTTCTACGCCGATTGTTGCTCGCGGCAACCGGCTGGGACGGCGGCAACAGCAGCAGCAGCTCGGATGCAAATTGCATCTCGACGGTTCGCGGGTGGGAAAAATAAACGAGAAATAAAACGAGCGAGCTGGCGGAAGGAGAGGAAGCGAACGAAACCCGCCGCGTTGCGAGACTGCTCGATGATGGGGAGGAGAAGGGAAGATGAGGGAAATGCGGGAGGGGAAGGAAATATCAAGGTGGAGTGGAGTGACAAGAGGAGAGGAGAGGAGAGAAGAGGGCGGACGAACGCGTTGGTCGAAGGTAGATGCGGAGAGCCGGTAGGGCCACGACAGGGTGCGAACCATAAGAGAGGGGGGTACGCGAGGGTCATTCATCATCCGAGGAGAAGAGAGGCCTGCGCGAACACACACCACCATACCACGCCACCGCACAGTCCATGCTGGTGGAAGGGCATCGGCGTCGGAAGGAGGAGGTGGAAGGCCACCCACGCGGAACGATCGGGTTCGCCTTCGGTGGCGATTCCGAGGCCGAGTATACCGACACCAGCGAGACTGATTCTATCGCGGGTTCTTGCGTATGATTGGCGCCGTGGCCAAATGATCGGCGTGTTACGCGACGTGTTAGGTCTCTGACATGTTATTTAATTCACAAGTGTTATCTCGAAGCACATAAAATGCATAAAATTTAAGATAGATGATTGTAACTCTGTATATTAGTTATGTCGCTAAATTTGATGACCAAGAATGTTAATAATATAAAATGACTATCAATCGTATAATTAATATCGAATTATTATCAATGAGAAAAAAAATTAGACAAGATTCTCTTTTCCTCGTATCTAAAAAATAATTGTTAGAATTAAGATTGAAGCTCACTGTCTATATGCTAAACAATAGAGAGACATTATTTTAATAGTCGTTTTTGTGATTTCATCTATCTATGCGCTTTGAAACCTCTCCTCTGAAAAGGACCGCTCGTCAAAAACCAGTCAAGCAGAGTTACAAACTCCGAGCTCTCATGGCACGAGCTTCTCGGCTGTTCTGGAGTGGTTTCTGGAGAGGGTAAACACACGGTTCCTTTCCACCCCCGCTCAGCCTCTAGCAGGCCTAATAATAACGACGAAATTGCCGTTCGTGGCGGCGATAACGAGGAGACGATGTCGGGGAAAGACACCGAGTACTTTAGTTAGGAGAGACGGAAAGAGAGAAAGAGACG